GGTCGGCAAACCCCAGCAGGTCGGCAAACACGCAGCAGGTTGGCAACCAGCAGTAGACAAACCAGAGGTCGGACAAGCACCAGCAGGTCGGCAAACCCCAGTTCAGTGTCGGGCAAGCACCAGCAGGTCAGCAAGCACCAGCAGGTCGGCAAGCACAGCAGGTTGGCAAACCCCAGCAGGTTCGGCAAGCACCAGCAGGTCGGCAACAGCGCCAGCAGGCAGCAAACCCAGCAGGTTCGGCAAGCACAACAGGTTGGCAAAGCCCAGCAGGTCGGCAAGCACCAGCAAAGCACCAGCAGGTTGGCAAACCCCAGCAGGTCGAAAAGCACCAGCAGGTTGGCTAGAACCAGCAGTTGGCAACTCAAGCAGGTCGGCAAGAACCAGCAGGTTGGCAAACCCCAGCAGGTCAAAGCGAACCGCAGGTCAGCAAACCCCAGCAGGTCGGCAAGCAAAGCGGTTGGCAAGACACGAAGACGGTTGGCAAACCACAGGTTGCAACCCCAGTAGGTCGGCAAGCACCAGCCGGTTGGCAAACCCCAGCCGGTTTGGCAAAAGCAGGTTGGCAAACCCCAGCAGGTCGGCAAAGCACCAGCCGGTTGGCAAACCCAAGCCGGTGGCAACCCAGCAGGTTGGCAAACCAGCCGGCAAAGCAGCCGGTTGGCAAACCCCAGCAGGTCGGCAAACCCCAGCAGCGGCACCGCAGGTCGGCACAACACCAGCCCCAGGTTGCAAAGCACCGCAGGTTGGCAACACCCAGGCAGTCGGGCAAGCAAACCCAGCAGGTTGAGGTAACCCAATCAGGTTTAGCAAACACCCATCAGGTGGCAAGCCCCATCAGGTTCGGCAACCCCAGGGGTTGGCAAACCCCATCAGGTTTGGGCAAACCCCAGCCGGTTGGCAAAACCAGCCAGGTGGCAAACCCCAGGTTGCAAACCCGGTTGGCAAACCGCCAGCAGGTGGAAACCCAGCAGGTTGCAAACCCAGCGGTTGGCGCAAACCCCATTTCAGGTCTGCAAACCCCAGGCCGGTTGGCAAACTCAGCCGGTTGGGGCAAACCCCAACCGGTGGCAAACCCCATTCAGGTCGGCAAATTCCCGCGCAAACCCCAAGGCAAACCCCAGGTGGCAACCCAGCAGTTGGCAAATTCCAGCACCCCACCAGGTTGGCAGCGGTTGGCAAACCCCAGCAAACCCCATCAGGTCCGGTTGGCAAACCCAGCCGTTGGCAAACCCAGCAGGTTGGCAACCCCAGCCGGTTGGCAAACCACAGACAGGTCGGAAACCCAGCCGGTTGGCAAACCACAGCAGGTGGCAACCCCATCGTTGGCAAACCCCGAAGCAACCCCAGTCGGTTGGCAACCCCAGCAGGTCGGCAAAACCCCACCCGGTGGGCAAGCGGTGGCAAGCACAGCAGGTTGCAAGCACCAGCAGGTCGGCAAGCACCAGCAGGTCGGCAAGCACAAGCAGGTTGGCAAACCCCAGCAGGTTGGCAAACCCCACCGGTTGGCAACCCCAGCAGGTTCGGCAAACCCAGCCGGTTGGCAAGCACCAGCAGGTTTGGCAAACCCCACAGGTCAGCCCAGCAGGTGCAAACCCAGCAGTCGTGTGGCAAACCCCAGTCGGTTGGCAAACGCAGTCGTTGGCAACACCCCAGCCGGTTGGCAACCCCAGGTGCAGGGTTGGCAAACCCAGTCGGTTGGCAAACTCCAGCCGTTGGTAAAGCAGTCCGGTTGGCAAACCCAGCAGGTTGGCAAAACCCCAGTTGTTTGGCAAACCCCAAGTCGGTTGGCAAACTCCAGCCGGTTGGCAAACCCAGTCGGTTGCAAACGCCCAGTCGGTTGGCAAACTCCCAGTCGGTTGGCAAACCCAGTCGGTTGGCAAACCCCAGTCGGTTGGGAAACCCCAGTCGGTTTGGCAAACCCCAGCAGTGTTGGCAAACCCAGCAGGTCGGCAAACCCAGCAGGTTGGCAAACCCCCAGTCGGTTGGCAAACCCAGTGGCAACCCGGTTTGGTAAACCAGCCATTAAACCCCAGCAGGTTGGCAAACCCCAGCAAGGTGGAAAACCCAGTAGGTTTGCAAAGTCCCTTGGCAAACCCAGCCGGTTGGCAAAGGCCCCAGTCGGTTTGGCAAACCCCAAGTCGGTTGGTAAACACAGCCGGTTTGGCAAAACCCCAGTCGGTGTGGCAAACCCAGCCGGTTTGGCAAACCCGAGGGTTGGCAACCCCAGCCGGTTGGCAAACCCCAGTCGGTTGGCAAACCCAGTCGGTCTGGGTAAACCAGCCGGTTGGTAAACCCAGTCGGGGTTTGGCAAACCCCAGCCGGTTGGTAAACCCCAGTCGGTTGGCAAACCCAGCAGGTTGGCAAACCCCAGTCGGTTGGCAAACCCCAGTCGGTTGGCAACCCCATGGTTGGCAAACCCCAGCGGTTTGGCAAAACCCCAGTCGGTTGGCAAACCCAGCAGGTTGGAAACCCCAGTCGGTTGGCAAAACCCCAGCCAGTT